CCCTCCCTGCGCCCCCGCCCCGCCCCGCCCCGCGCCCCTCCCCCGGCGGCCGCGCATCCAGGGGCGGCGCGCAGCCGAGCGGTCGCCCAGCCCAGTGCCGCCAGCTCGCTGCTGCTCTGGGATTCACTTTGGTGCGCGCGAGCTTGGCCCTCTCTCGCCTCTCCTGAGGGCTTCGCTCTTCGGCCCGACTCTGCTTTAGCCGGAAAACTTTACTGTGATTTCTTTTCCCCATTGGAGGAAAGGATTTAAAGTTCGGCGAGCTGGTGCCTCTCGGGCGACGGGAGGGTGTCCGCCGGCGGGGTCCCCGGCCCCACCATGTGCACCAACATAGTTTACGAGTGGCTGAAAGCGCTGCAGCTCCCGCAGTACGCGGAGTCCTTCGTGGATAACGGCTACGATGACCTGGAGGTGTGCAAGCAGATCGGAGACCCGGACCTGGATGCCATCGGGGTGCTGGCGCCCGCGCACCGCCGCCGCGTCCTGGAGGCCGTGCGCCGTCTGCGGGAGCAGGACGCAGCCGCCGCCGGCCTCTATTTCACCCTTGAGCCGCAGCCCGCGTCGCCCGTGGACGCGGTCCCCACCGGCCGCCGGGGGGAGCCATGTGGCGGCGTGTCCCAGGGCACCCGCGGGGACCCGCGCGCCCAGACCACCGCCCCCCGCAGCAGGGAGCTGGTGAGCTACCCTAAACTCAAGCTGAAGATCATGATCAGGGATAAGCTGGTCCGAGACGGCATCCACTTGAGCAAGCCCCCGTACTCCCGCAAGGTAAGTGGGCGCCGCCCTGGCGGTCGGGGCCGCACGAGGGATAGGGAGAGGCCGGCCAGTCGGCTTCTGCCGGGGCGCGGCAGAAGAGGGGATGCCAGAATGCTTCTGGTGGCTGGGACTATCCTCTGTTTTCTCTCTTTCTTCCTTCTTGTTGGCGCCGTCTGTGGTTGGAAAGACAAGATCCCACACCCGATACTAACTCCAAACTAGGACCAAGTCTCAGCACAGTCTCTGGGGCTCACCTGTTAGGATCTGGATTTGTGGGCAAAGAGGAATTCTTGATGCCTCGGTAGCACGATAGTAGTATTTGGGTCTGAAAAGAAAGTCTTAACAGTTACCTACATTATTTTCGACCTTCCTTTTTCCTTCTTTATTTTCTGAGTTTTGAGAAACTCCCAAGGAAAATTGGTAAACTTTCATCAAATCAGTCCAGGTTGAAGCGTACCATTAAGCAGAGCATGGGGGCGAGTGGAGGGGGAAGGTCAATGGAACATGAAGCACGTGTGGGCCCACTAGAGACCCCTTCCGTGAGAGTAAGAATGCTGGCATAAGGAGCTGCTGAGGACGTCGCAGATAACAGGGCCACAGGGCTGGCTGTGGGCGTCGGAGGGTCAGTGCTTGACTTGTTACTGATCCAGAAGAGATGAAGCAGGCACAACTGTGGCTTCTCCAAGAGTGGTCCTGCATTTGGGAGAGGAGGGAATAACACACGAAAGTGGCATTTTGGTCCTCAAAGAGATTCCCCATGGTGTGTGTGTGTGTGTGTGTCTGTGTGTCTGTGTGTGTCTGTGTCTGTGTGTCTGTGTGTCTGTGTCTGTGTGTGTGTGTGTGTGTGTGAGAGAGAGAGAGAGAGAGAGAGAGAGAGAGAGAGAGAATATAAGTTCTGACAGTTGCTCTGTGAGAAAGGGTGAAATTTGCTGTTAGCTTTGAATAATTAAGCAACAGAAAGTGCAGTTTCACACCAGCCTGCTCTCTACTGCTTGCTTCAGTCCCTTCAGTTCAGATTTCTAGGGGCTGGGGAGATGGCTCAGTAGAGTAAGCTCTTGCCTGGCAAGCGTAAGGGCCTGAGTTCAATCCCAGTTCTGCAAATAAATAAATAAATAAATAAAAGATTAAAATAGAATAAAAAAAAAAACAGATTTTTTTCCCAGTCCTTGCTAGGCAGAAAGCACAGGTAACCTGCAGGGTTTCCTGGAGCGCTATGGAAGGAGTGCCTCCCCCTGAAAATAAACACCTGGAGAAGCCAGGGAGAGCATTCAGTTGGCAGGGACAGGCAGCCTATCACGGTGATGAGGAAGGGAGGGTGATCTAAATGTCACATGGGTGGCCTGGGTCCTGGAATTGGTTTCCATTCTAAGGTGGTTTTCAGTGAATGTCATTCTCCATGGGTTTCAGGAAGTTCGGGTGAAAGCTTTGTGCAAAGGTAGACAGAGCTGTAACGTCCGTCTAGTGTCTTGCATTAAGGAGGACAAGTGAGAGAGGCTGCCTGAGAATGCAATATGTTTTAGGACAGGCCAGGGAGATGGTTTGCCTCTAATTAAACCTGTGTTGCAATTACCTGCTCTGTACCACTGATGCATTTGAGAAGCTGGAAGGAAGAAAACAGTTTTCCCTGCCAGTCAGCACAGAGGGTGTCTACTGAGGGTGAAAGGACTCCAGTCAGCAGTACGGAAACTTAGTTCAGGACTCCAGGAGGGTGAGATCAATTTGACGTCTGTTACTAACCCTCTGGAAAGTAAGATGGATTTGAGCTGGGTGGCACAGTACATGGGCCCACAGTGAGGGTCCAGCTCAAGTTGTGGCCACAAAAGGACGCAGTGACCCAGGTGTGTGTGTGTGTGTGTGTGTGTGTGTGTGTGTGTGTGTGTGTAGTCTTCAGCAAAACTGCTGTGTGACATAGCAGAGATTACAGAAAGGTTTGGGTAGGGGAGGGGGAGGTGAGAGGCATGAAGAACACATTTTAGCTCACAAATCAAACTGAGAAGCTGAAGAGGACTTAAATGACATGCAGCATCTGAATGGAGGCTTTGAACTGTGGCCTCTTCTTCAGATCAATGAGTGACCTGGCAATGCATTTTTGTAGGTCAGATTTGTATGTGAAAATTGCACCTCACACTGCAGCACTGTTTGGTTTCTGTAGAAAGCATTATTCAGTCAACTTTGTTTTTATATAAATCCCATAACAATGATGTGTGATATAAAGACAGGCCTCTACTCACTTTCTACCTCTTAATTCTCCTCAAATCAATGTAAAAATAAAATGAGAGCAGATACATTTTCATTAACCCCTTCATAGAAGCTTTCTTAGGGACCAAGAAAAAATAGTGCTGACAGATTTTGTTGTAAGGAGTGATACACACTGATGTAGGAATTAAAATAAAGTTAATGCACACAGGCTGAGTATAGAGGCTGACCATGTTGTTCACTTGGAATGTGTTGCTTGTATGTACGTTGCTTCTTTTGATTCTAAATTGTTGAGGAATTTGTTTTCTGACTCAGCCTGGTCCCTTACGAATGTGCTAGGAACCTTTTCTTTAAAATGTGATCTATGATGTAGCTTTTCTAGATTCCTTAGTCTGTCATGATCAGAATGTGTAATAGTCATTATGTACACATAGGATTTGGCTTGGTAGAGCAGCTCAATCTCCTTGACAATCATTTGCATCACCTGTCCTTGTGATTTTGTACCTGGATGAGTGTGTTAGATGGCTTCAACATGGATTGTACCAAGGATGCTCAAGGCAGGCATACTGAGGCTTTTACAGAGGAGTGTAAGTTGACATGTTTTCCTAAGAAACACCTGAAAAAGTCTCAAGGTTTCCTAGTTCAAGGATCAGTAAGTTAAAATATAAGTAAACTGCTAGTAAAATGAAACTTTGTCATTTTTTTCCCAAAGAAAGTCTAGAGCTGTGGAAAATCAGAAGCTTGGAAGGATCACTAGGCTTGAAATCAGAGGACACTGGATGAATCTCTTGTGTGCTCTGCGTTTAGCTTAAGTGCTTTCATTTTTTCTTTTGTAAAACGGGAGTGTGTGTGTGTATTCCCATATATATATATATTATATATAAAACTTTGTTTTTTTAATATAAAACTTGGTTTTAACCAAGCTTCTCTATGCTGTGCATTCTTCTGGGCTCCAGATTATTGTGGCTGGCTGGTTTCAGAAGCCCTCCTTTCACAGATCTTAGAGTCTATCAGGGCAGACATAAACTAGAATAAGCCATAAGGAAGAAAGGGGATGCTGTCTTGGATGGGAAGCACATGAGACCATGAACAGGAGGTGTGGTCAAGTTCATTTGCAAGGACCAAGGACATGGGATCAGGGAGTGGAGAGATAGTAGGAAGGCAGGAGGAAGTAGGGAGTGCTCTGGAAGCCTCTGTAAACAGCAGGAGTTTAAGGAAGAACGTGAAGAAAGATCAGGTAGTGATCAGGTAGGACACAAATGGAAATCTCTGGGCCATGGCAACCACACCATCTGGAACCTTGGTGGGTGGGGACCAATGAGAATGCAGGCGGTGGGTAGGCTCCACTTTTTAATAGCATTTGAGAAGATAGAACTAAGATTACAACTAAGGAGGGAGACTTTGAAAGGTTCTATACCTTATGAGTAAGAGAAACTAGAGCATGTGTGTTGGTGGCAGGAAGCCAGAGGAGAGGAGGTAGTGAAGATACGGCCAAGAGGAGGTGATTTAAGAGAACAAGGGCATAGAGAAGGTGAGGTGAACGGTGCTCCGAGCACTGGAAGGGGTTGAGGAGTCACTTAAGGGACAGAGAAAAGTGAGGACACAGGGAACCTGAAGGGTTCCCCTGAAGAGTTCCTTTTCCCCCTTTCTGAACAAATGATGTAAGCAAGAGAAAGCTTAGAGGTTTAAGGAAACACAAGGGTACTAACACATAAGTTTTAATGCTGTGATCCAATGTTTATAATTATGGCTACCTATAGACATTACACAGTGGAATTCATAGGATTATTCATGACCATACACACACACACACACACACACACACACACACACACACACACATGCACATGCACACAATACTGTTTACATGTTTGTATGCAGGGCATCAATTATGCATAACATTTGGTCATGACAGTGCTTGTATGTGGGATTTGGGAGAGGTGTGTCAGGTATGGGGCTGTGAAGCTGTTATTTCTAGGGGAGCTGAAAAAGTAAAAGGTGGGTCCTAGGGTAGGCAGGGGGAGACTTCTAAATTTCTTCACTAAATATATCTGTTTGTCACATTGACACTGGTTGAGTAGTATAATCTTTAATAATGCTGTAGGAGGGTTAATCTGCCTTCACGCTTTAGTGTAAATTGAATTAATTAATAATACTCAGTGATAATAAGGCAATAGATGGGGTTTCTCTGGAGAGATGTCCCAAGATGAGGGAATTTGGAGAGACAAAGGTGGCAGGAAGACTTCTATGTGTGGAGCATACAGAAAAAGGACATAGAAAAAAGATATTGGCAAAATCCTCCCAAGAAGTTCTTTCACCTTTGGGATATTACTGCTGGCAAATTCAATGTTTCTAACTCAAACATTATCCCCAGCCTAGATCTGTTTAGGATATTTTGTTAGAAGTCCTTTACTGGAAAACTGAGGGAGGAAGGGATAGGAAGGAGAGGAGATCAGATGGTGGTGAGGCTACTGTTTTCTTGCTCTTTCCCATTTATTATCTATGGATTTTCACACAGTAGACATTCCCACATCCACTCATCTGTTCATCTGTCCATGTGTCCTTCTAGTCTTTCTTTGTCCACTTTCTCAATCATATCTCCCTCTTTCTCTTCTTCCCTCCCTTGCTGCTTCCTTCCTCCCTTTTTCTTTCCCTTTATCCTTCCCTCTTTCCACTTACCAAATATTGACCATACACCATGGATGGAGCTCTAGGGGTGAGACTGCAGGGAGCCAGACAGATACAGTTCTTGCTGTATGTGGAATAGCGATCCCCGTACTTGACGCGTAGTAGCTGCACCATGTCCAAGTGGAAGG